ATGCTAAATAAAACCTGAGGCCACAGGAATCTTGCCAAGGTTTGCAATATTCCCAGGGATCTGCAGGCATTAATACAGAGAAGACTCATTAATACAGACATTGAGATTCCACTCAAAAGCTTTCCTAGCTCCTGGCAAGCACCCAAAGTCCTCAAAGAACATGTTCTTAAGATAGACTTCACAGCAACCTTAACTGCTGAAGGACTCCCAGGCTGGCTACACAAAAGAAACAACAGAAACATGTTCTAAAGAAACTAGAAATTTGAAATGAAATGCTTCCCCCTTCCAGAAAAGCAAAGGTTCATGTTCAGCACTGAAATATGGACACGAAGAGGTTCACCCAGACCAGACCAGGGCAGTGCTCTGACTGCACGTGTAGCTACAGCCTGGAGCAAGAACACCCAGATCCCTCATCAAACACTGTAAGCTATTACTGTAACACAGCAAATCATCTGCTGACAAACACTTGCATCTTTAATGCAAACTAAGTCACTGAATTGATTTTAGAAAATATTTTGGGATTTTATCTGTCATAAAGGAATGCTGATCCTCGTTGCCCAAAAGTCACTGCATTTACATGGAGCAGCTACACTACGTCCATCAGACAGAGCAACCAGTGACTGGAAACATCAGAAATGACAGGCAGAGGAAAGAGAAAACTGCAGGGACAAAAAAGAGCAGGGAAAGGAACAAGCAAAAATGACAGGGAGAAAACCAATGTTGGGGAACGATGCCCCTAAACATCTTCTGTGAGAGAAAACCACCCAGCAAAGAGTGGGTGTCTAGACACCTGCTATCAGGAACACATCAGATCTGGGGCCTATCAGTGTCACAGCTCAGCCTTTGAGAAGATGGATTGACTTGGTCCAATTCCAACAAAGCACTTGGACTAATGTTCAATTTGCAGCTTGTGATCAGTTCCACTCAAGTCAAACTACTTGTGACTTTAAGAGATGAGCATTTGCTCAAACTCTTGGTTGGATAGGTACCAAAGAGTAGCATTGCTAACTTCAAATTCCTAAAGATCCTAATTCAAGTCTAAAAAATATTTTTAAACATTGGTTTAAAGCCCTTGCTGTCAATTAAGAAAGAATTCATTTGGCTCTGGTTTCCTAAAGTCATGAAATGATCTGCAAAACACTTACTCAGATCCCTTGGCTGGCAGCTTCAGTTATTTTATCACAGTAGAGAGAATCATTGCATCGTTAAGGTTGGAAAAGACCTCCAAGATCAGCAAGTCCAACCATCAACCCAACACTGGCAGGACCACCCAACCATGTCCCCAAGTGCCACAGCCACATGTTTTTTGAACCCCTCCGGGGCTGGGGACTCCAGCACCTCCCTGGGCAGCCTGGGCCAATGTCTCACCACTCTGCCAGGAGAGAAATTCTTCCCAATATCCATCCTAAACCTCCCCTGGGGCAACTTCAGCCCATTGCCTCTCACCCTGTCACTAGTAACCTGGGAGAAGAGACCAACCCCCACCTCACTCCAGCCTCCTGTCAGGGAGTTGTGGAGAGCCTGAAGTTCTCCCCTCAGCCTCCTCTTCTCCAGACTGAGCCCCCCCAGGTCCCTCAGCTGCTCCTCACCAGCCATGTTCCCCAGAGCCCTCCCCAGCTCCGTTGCCCTTCTCTGGACCCACTTCAGCAAGGGGGCTTGAAAATTTTCAAAAGGTGAATACAGAGAATGCTGCACAGCCAGTCCTGCCCCCAGGAGCTACTGCTAAGAACAAATAACTATAAAATAAATCTAACCTAAGACTCATAAAAGCATGAGAACTGTTGGATTGGAATGTACCCTGAGCCTTGCTCACCCGAGCTGCCAGGACAGCTGTCTCCTTTCCCCTCTCCCTGATGCCTTTGCTGACCCACAGGGACCAGGAGCACTGTCCTCTTGTTCTGGGGACAATCCTGCAAGAGGGCACCCAACGCAGAGCACAGAAAGGTTCACTCTCTCTGGGTGAGGGAAAGCTGCTTCCCCTTCCCTGGATCCCTCTAACTCTGTCCCCACATTCTGCACTCTCTGAGTTCCACCTCAGGTGAGCCACAGGAGCCTCTCTCTGCCAGAAGCAGAGGCTGCTGGCTGCACTGAGCAGAGCTGGACAGGAGCTGAACTTCAGCTGGAGAAAGAGCTCCTGCTGGAAACTTGTGGGAACCAGCTCTGGAGAGTCCCCTAGCTGATTTAAAAGCCCGTTCACACAGATAGCTATCAGTTTTAAACAGATCTTTCCTTCATCCCTGAGCTGAGAATAAAAGCAATCTGATAAAACCACGCAGGCTACATGCCAAAGCAGCAGCAGTGCTTCACTGGCCTTGAAATACAGCTCTTTTCCTGGAAACCTTACCAAGATGAGGGAAAAAAAAGGGCAATTTTTAACAGGCACTCTTCAGAATAGGTTCCACATTTCATCCTCAATTATCAGTTCATAAATCTAGAATCTCTGAGCTGCTAGCAGACGGGTGAAGGTCACTCAACGAGGACCTCATAAAATTACAGAAGTTTAGAAAATTAACAACAATCTGAACTCATTTCTTTCCACAGTACACTGGATTTTCCAGAGCTGAGTTTCCCTTTAGCAAAGGGCCACTAGAAAACTGAAACCCAGAAATAGCCAAAGAAATTCCCTTTCAACTGCCAAGATGGATTATCTGCAAATAAACTTGGATGTATTTCCCTTATGGATTAAATAGTTGATAATGATATCCTGCACTTCTATATAGCCTTTTGAAGTTTCAAGTATTGAAGAATAACACAAGCTTTAGGAGGGCTGGGGAAGGACTGGGAGTTTGCAGCTGAAGCAGCCCAAGCACATTGCTCATCCCAGGGACCAGGACTCCTCAGGGGCTCCCAGAACAACCCATCTCCAAGCTCAGTGCTGGAGCCAGCCGTGCCCTCCCGTGGAACACAGCCCAGGAGGGCCTGGACTCCCCTCTGCCAAACCTCCCTCCCGTGGCTTCCACCCAAGGGCCAGCAGCAGCCTCACAGCTCAGGTTCCTCTGGGAGTGTGACAGGGGTGAATGTTCCAGACCCCCAGGAACTAGTTAGGATCACAAACCCTGATGCTGACATCCCCCTGTACACAGTTTACCATCAAGGGAATTCTTCCCCCCTTTTCAACCTGAAAAAATGTGGCTTAATTCTGTTTCATCCTAAAATAATTAGGAAACTCTACTCTGCAAGACAGAGCAAAACAAAATCAAGTGACAAAAAGTGAGTTTCCCACCTCATCACCCACCCAGACACACCCCCTGACATGATGGTCACAATGATTCACCACTGTACCTTTTCTTCACATAATGTAGCATGAAAAGAATGTCTGTTTCTAACAACCCAAGTGTCTATGAAACACCCTCTCTCTTCTCCTGCCTTTCTGCACTTACCTTCTTTCCAGGAAAGAAGCCAATCCTCTCGAGACAATTCCTGGGATCTCTTGCCCATTTTCACATGACACCACAATGACCCTGACCTTACAGCTGAGACTGTCTGGGGGAATCACCTTCAGGGAGAACAGTTCTCCTATCACCCTCAAAACCCTCAGTTGTAAGGGTTTGGTTGAACACATCAAAATAATCACTTCTTGGGAAGGGAAGGGAAGGGAAGGGAAGGGAAGGGAAGGGAAGGGAAGGGAAGGGAAGGCCAACGTGACACCAAATGTTATCTGCATCAAGGATGTCAGGTCTCAGGTAATGGTTTGCCAAACCTTCTCATGACAGAAGGCAAGGTCTCAGAATAGAAAGGGAAGTGCAAAATCTTACTAAAGCTGTAAGTCAAACTAAACAACTAAACAGTTTAGAATTCCTGAACAGCATCCTGTATCCAACATGAACAGCACTGGTCAAAACATTTTTCATTCATGCATTTTAAGAGAAAATGGATTTTTGACCAAAAAAAACCCCTTTTTTCATTTTTTTTTTTTAAGATAATAAAATATCTTTTGATAGTGTCAAACCCACAATTTTTTTCAGCCACTACTTACTCCTCCATTGCAGCCATGGAGCAATTTCATGCTCATGACAGGGGTTGGTTGTCATCAAAGGAACTGCAGCAATGCAGGACCAGCACTTTCTGTGGTACAGAAGGTGGAAAAAATCTAGACTGCAAATCCTTGTTCATCAATACTCTTGTTCCTCACTAGAACAAGGGGAAATGAGATCAAAGGGTGACAACTGAAGTTCATTAGCTGCTCTGGTGAGGATGCATGACCCTGGGAAGCATTGATTGCTGTGCCCCATCAGGGAGCATGTTCTCTTTAACAACAATTAGCAGAATCACTCCTTTTTTCACCCACCAGTTCAGCAGAGCTGTACAAAGCCAGGGAGCAGGGCTGTTTAACACAGAGATGGGCTCTTGCACAGCCCTTTGCTGGCACCAGCTGGACTTTGCCACTCTGCATCAATCAGCACGGGTGGCATGAGGTGAGCAGAGCAGAGAGAAGACAGCTCTGCCTCCTCATGGGGATGTTTCCACCTCAACCTCCTGACCCACCAGCTCCCTGCTTCTCTGTGTGCTGGTTCATGGAGCTCAGCAAGCCAAGGACATGCAGTCCTCAAAGCTCCTCTCCAAACCCAACTCCAGTGACTTCAGCAAAGCCAAAGTGAGTCTCCTCAGCTGAGGAACTGGTCTGACCTGTATGGAACAAGCTACTGTGCACAATACAAGCCCAAAGGCTGGAACACTCTGAAATACAAGCACTTAGACACAGATAAGAGGTGAATTTCCAGCTCCTTTCCAATCTGCAACAAATTTCCATGGACTTCAGCACAGCAGGAACTCCTCTGCTGGCACCAGGGCTAATTCATGGGCACCACTGCAGCTGCACTGAGTTACTCCAGCTCAGGCCCTGTCCTTAAACTTCTATGCAATATATTCATGACCTAACCCATTAGTGCAGCCCAGGGAAATGGAGGAAATGAAAGCAGCACAAATGAAGATTTTATCACCTCAATAAAAGTGAGGGCTGCTACTCTTTAAGTTTCTTTCAGTTGTCATTCCTGTCTTACCTCACAGACACAAGCAAGCTGTTGTTCAGCTTCAGTTCCCTCAGATTGGGTAGATAGACACCTATGGGAGCAGAACAAAGAATCACTTTGCAGGCCTGGGAGTAAAGGAAACTTCTAACTACAAGCATCTTGTAATTAGAATTGTATTAGAATTGAATTAGAATTACAGAATTGTAATTGAAGCATCTCATTTTATGTACATTTCTCATCTATTTCTGTCAGATCTGTGCTGGACCTCTTCTAAGAAAATGAATGAGATGATTTCATCCAAAAAATATTTCCCCCTTTGAATTTTTGCAACATATCAATATTGTTGCATGACCCCTCAGTTACCATTGCTTACCCATTGCTTACTATTCAATTGTACAGGTTTCATACCTATGAAAACCTCAGTATTTGATCATTATTACTTTGATGAATGCCTTTTTCTAGTCCCTAGAGACATTTGCCTTTTTGGTTGCTTCTCCTGGCACCCCTGAACCAAAATCACAGACCAAATTCCTCCAGGCTACAGGACAATTTGGATACAAGCTCAAGTCTCAGGAAACATTTGCTATGGCCAGCAGCAAACTTGTACCTGTCCCAGGGGCAGAGTTTGCCCAGGGCTGGCGAGCAGCCCCCAGCACAACATGCCACCATGAAGAGGTAATATCAATTTTAGACACACCAGATCATTGCTAAATCATTAAAATTTGTTCTCAGCAAATGTTTTGTGAGTCCTCTGAGTAATCTCTCTCTGGCAAGCATGATCTAGCAGTGTCCAGGACACAGCTCCAGCTCTTTGCAATGGATCAAAAGAAAAAGCAAACAAAAGAAGAAATTTAAAAAAAAAAAAGAAATAAGAAGTGAGTGGGAATTCAAAGGCATACAAAGGTCATGTTGTCCATCCCATTTCCCAAACAGGACAAGAGTGTTTATGGCAAAAACATTTTAATAAATCCAGTAGAAGCATTATCTATATCTAATACTATCTGGGAGTGATTATAATAATATGCATCTTGCTCTTCATGCTCCACTGCAAGTATTTAACTTCATGCCTCTGCAAAGCTCTTTGGAAAATTAAAAATCCCAAACACTGTGCAATTTTTTTAGCCTTACTTTTAGATCACTTTCCATATTCCATATGGCTTGTAGTACAAATTATAACAGACCACCCTCATCATGCAGGACACACTTTCTCATGTCAAACAAGTTTTAGGAAGTATGGCCACAAAATAATTTGGAGTCCTGACAGAGGGGATGCTGGGACCTCTGTTAATTATTCACAGAGTCACACTAGCTACTGAGCAAAGACTTTCTCAGATAAGAGGACTAAGAAAACTCTCAATAGAAAAAAAATCAAAATCTAGGTTACAAAAAATTGCTGCCATGTTTCTGGTAGGAAACCTGAAGCACAGAGAGATGATGCAAGAGCCTCAGCAGTGCCAGCACAGGAGCAGGCAATGGGCTGGCCACGGGCTCAGCCAGACAGGCTCAAGGGTTACCAGGCAAAGGCTGCTGCAAAGCATTTCAAAGGAAATGGTTTTTAAAGACTAATATGAAGCAGAAGATTTGAATGAGGAGTTGAGAAGAACAGCTCAAAGAGCAATGGAGAGACTTGCTCAAGAAAAAGCTCTCCACTGAGGGCATCTAGGCTTGGCTCAGGAGAAAAAGGGACTCAGAGACTGAGTGACAGGCTGAGGATGGAGTTTCACATCTGGTTCTTTCGTTATTGTAACTCAACCCTCCAGCTCAGACACTTGATTGGATTTTGGCACAGTCCATCCCTGGGAACTCGCTGAGTGCTCAGCTCTAACGTGCTGTTTACCAGGCTGAAATACAAGCCTGCTGTGTGCAGGGGTGCAGAATCCTGCCAGCAAGGCTTCTGCAAGGTACTGCTCCAATTCTGCAGGTTCTTCCCCCGTTGAGTTCTGTGTTCCATATGTAATTGTTCTTTGGTGCTAAGATCTCACTGGCCATTTGGGTTTGCTGGTTTTAGTCATCCCAATTCCTTATGTATACATTAGAGACTGGAAAATTAAGAGAAAATTGTACAACGAAGATGACACAATAAGAGTTCTATCCAAATGTAACAACATGCTTCAAATTTTCTTCATTTTAACCCTCATGGCACTGTTTCTGAGAGCAAGGATGTGATTTATTCTTATAATAACACAAAAATACAGTATCAACAATATTAACTTCTAATATTAATTTTAAAAGTACAAAGAATAGATCCCTCCTCCTGCCACTGGCTAATTGTGACTTTTAAGGCTGAGAATGGTCCAGAAAAATGCTGCTGGCTGCAGCAAAGTGCTGAGAACTCAGAACAGTGAGCAACGTTATCTCATCTGTCTACCATTCCCTCTCCCTAAATACCCTTTTTGTTACATGGCTCTGAAATGACCAACCACCAACAATGTCCCAGTGTTAAACTGTCCCACTGTGCAATCCCAGTGGAGCAAAACTGAGGAGCAGAAGGAAATCCAAGTGTAAGGCAGGTGAAAAGAGGTGATGCTTGCACACTCGACAGCAGCACCTCAAACTCTGCACTTCACAAGCAGGGTGGCAATGCAGGTGTCTGAGCTGCACATGGCACTTAGATAATCAACTAGGAGTAAGGAGAAAATAGGTAAGAAGCTGCTTTTATTATATTCAACAAGCTACAACACTTATAACACTTGTTGTTCAGGGTGTGGTTTTTAGGTAGCATCATATATTGTGTTTTTCTATTGTTAACTAAAAAATCTTCGTGGCTTGGCTTCTGGAAAATGGGCTAGTGAAAAACATGCACAAAAGAAATCACTGACCAATACTTGTGTTGGCATCAGGCAGCCTACGTGTTCTGTAGGTCCTACAGCATGAAACAGGCTGTGGACTTGGCATCAGGCAGCCTACGTGTTCTGTTGGTCCTACAGCATGAAACAGGCTGCACTCTTCTAGCAAGAACAACCTGACACTTAATTAAACAATTAATCAATTAAACAGGCTGTTCCAAAGAATCATAGAATGATTAAGGCTGGAAAAGACCTCTAAGATCATCAAGTCCAACCATCAACCCAACACTCCCATGGCCACTAAACCATGGGCCCAAGTGCCACAGCCACATGTTTTTTGAAGCCCTCCAGGGCTGGGGACTCCAGCACCTCCCTGGGCAGCCTGGGCCAATGTCTCACCACTCTGCCAGGAGAGAAATTCTCCCTGACATCCAATCCAAACCTCTCCTGGTGCAACTTCAGCCCCTTTCCTCTCATCCTATTGCTGGTTCCTTGGGAGAAGAGACCAGCCCCCACCTGGCTCTAACCTCCTGTCAGGGAGCTGTAGAGAGCCAGAAGGTCTCCCCTGATCCTTCCCATCT